CTATCCCATTCCTGCAGATCCCTGCAGCTGGGAGCAGGCAGGTCCCATCCCCTTACATCCCTCAGGATCTRTCCCATTCCTGCAGATCCCTGAGGTGGGAGTGGGCAGATCCCATCCCCTTACATATCTCTGGATCTATCCCATTCCTGCAGATCCCTGCAGCTGGGAGCAGGCAGGTCCCATCCCCTTACATCCCTCTGGATCCATCCCATTCCTGCAGATCCCTGCAGCTGGGAGCAGGCAGATCCCATCCCCTTACATCTGTCAGGACCTATCCCATTCCTGCAGATCCCTGCAGGTGGGAGCAGGCAGATCCCATCCACCCATGCCCCCTGGGTGGGAGCGGGCAGATGCCATCCCTGCAGACCCCGGCTGTCCCAATCCGTGTTGCTGCGGGCTGCATGTGCAGCTCAGTGCTGGGATGCTCCATCTGGGATGCTGCCGGGGCAGCGCAGGGGGGTTCCCACTGGGATGCTCTTTCCCACTGGGATGCTCTTTCCCCCCGGCATGCTTGTGCTGTTGGGATGTGCTCGTTCCCACCACCTCTGCAGCTGGAGGAGTTTGCGCACTTCGACTTCGGGGTCTGGCGCAAGCGCTACATGCAGTGGATCGGCCAGATGAAGTCCCGCGTCCTGGACGTGTTCCGCGGCATCGACCGGGACCAGGACGGGCGCATTAGCCAGCGGGAGTTCATCGAGAGCGTCCTGGCCTCCAGTGAGCGCCGGYGCGGGGCACGCGGGATGCGGGATGCAGCGCCGCTCCGCGGGGCTCAGCCTCCCCGTCCCGCAGAGTTCCCCACCAACGTGCTGGAGATGAAGGCCGTGGCCAGCATCTTCGACCTCAACGGCGACGGCTTCATTGACTACTGCGAGTTCGTGAGCGCCCTGCACCCCAGCCGCGACCCGCTGCGCCACAGCGCCGACGCCGACCGCATCCAGGACGAGGTGCGCGCGGGGCTGCGGCGCGGGGCCGCGGGGAGCGGGGCGGCCGTGCGCTGAGCGCGGCGGCTTTGCTCCAGGTGAACAGGCAGGTGGCCCAGTGCAACTGCGCCAAGCGCTTCCAGGTGGAGCAGATCAGCGCCAACAGGTACCGGGTAAGCGCTGCCGCCCGCCGCGCTGCTGCGGGGCTGCTGCCTCCGCCCGGGGGGCCCGCACCGTG